ATATTAAATAAAACTAGTTTTAACGGGTTAATGCACGAACTTTATTTTTTTTATTGACTTAGACTTAGCCTTTTCAGGTCTGCGTCGTCAGAATCTCTTATCTAATAGACAAGTCCGTCCGTCCGTCCGTGGTGCTGTTTCAGCGGCCAAACCGTAAGAGATAGATAAAGAGAATGTTTAAGTTATAAGTTAAGAATAGTCTGATAAGACTACAAACCGGATTTGAGTAACGTAGCACTTCCGGTTTTCGAGAAATCACGAATTTCAAACGAAACCACACAAAATCTCCGAAGTTCTCAATTAATTAAATACATTTTTTTTTTGGTGAACATTTGGTTCACTGGTTTGCTAGTAACTTATTAACGTCAGAATTATTCTGACGATGCAGACCTGAAAAGGCTACGAAACGTCAATAAATAAATAAAGTTCGTGCATTAACCCGTTAAAACTAGTTTTATTTAATAAGTGATGTGCGTGGAAAACCTAAGAAACAAATATTATATTAGTTTGCTTTGATTCGGCGCTTTTGGAGATGTTAAAATTTTATGCTTTTTAAAGTTAACATGTTGTTATATCATTACTTTTATTCCATTGTTATAGTTTTCAAACTGTCTTAAATTGATTAATATCCCTGTTCTGTCATCAACTCTAGCCTCCAGACACCTGGCCTCCTTTACTGAGTGCTAAATAAACCGAACTCTAAAGGCCTAATATTTTTGAACTTCTTATTTCTATTTATATCTGCAATAAAAGTGTTTTTTTTTTGTAATAATTTGTTTTATTATTTAATTGATAATAATAATTTGTTATGCTCAAATAATATTAAAAAACATTTGTTAAAGTAAAAACCTCTGAAAAAACCTTCCATCTTTTATTCAACAGGAAAGGTATCGGCCTTTGCTACATAAACTGTTTAATGCTTTGTAAAGTACATTCGACTATAGTAGCAAAAAAAAAATTAGTAAATGCTTGGGTGTCAGGACGCTAGAACATTAGTTATTTTATATATTGTTTTAAACTTTCATGGTCACTAACATTATAGTAATATAAGTTATTTACGGGATTGTTACCATGTACCTTGTTTTTAGCGAGTTTCCGATATTTCGGCACTGTTGCAAGCGCCATGATCACTGAGTAACTAATATCGGAAACTCGCTAAAAACAAGGTACATGGTAACAATCCCGTAAATAACTTATATTACTATTAGTTATTTTGGAGTATAATTACATCTTCAGTCGCCGCTAATGTTTCATAACGCACCTTTAACAGTATGTAACAACAAAAAACAGTTTCATATTATATTTCCATTCGAAATAGCTGTCACCATGAATGATATCACTCAATAATCCAAAGTAGATATCGGTACAACGACATCGGCTCGTTTGTACGGGCTCTTTTCCGTTTAGGAGCCCTTACAACTGCTAGTGATGCGCCATCAACTATCGAACGTCACCGATATACAGGACAAGAGGTCATGGAAGCCCACGAATTTAAGGCTTAGTAGCCTCTCTTAAAAGTCATATTAGTGTAAAAGGATCATTCGATAGTTCGGATCGATGGTCAAGGTGACGGAGACTGTCTAATAATAACGACGAAAAAAGAGTGAATTTTTTAAATTAGTAAATTGTTGTAATAGAGGTGATAACAGGGATAATGTCTATTGTCTATTTTTTTTCTTCTAACAAGTACATTATCAAAAAGCATTGGATATGTATTTTTTCTTTTTAACGTAATCAAAACATTATAGATATATATATAGATTTGAAATGTCAAATGACGTTTCGTCTTGGTAATTTTTTTATTTTAATTAAACTTTGACGCGCTTTATCTCCGTGATTTTTTTATTGGTAGATTAAAGAAAAAATAAGTGCTATTGATGTTATAGTAATACTAGAGGTATCTTCCGGTCTCACCCGCGTTAATTTGTGAAAAAACCTTATAGCGTGACTCGCTTCTTAGATTAACATATGCTGTCGTAGACTGTTTTGTAGAACTTTGAAAATGGAACAATTCTATCGTACATGACTTTTGTGTAACTTTATCCGTTTACGCAGTGAACGCAACAGAAGCTCTCAAATGAAATGATGTCCCGTTTGCGCAACATTTTTATTGATAAGCGGAGCGCTTTTATTGGTTGTGGTCGAAGCGTCATGTTTTATAACCTAACCTTTCATGATAAATGAAACGTCCAAAAATAAGATATTTTTATAAATCGGACCAGTAGTTCCTGAGATTTAAAATAAATACTTAACTTACTAGTTAGTTCATCCGTCCAGTTTTGTTGTCATTCATTGCCATTTGATTAATGAAAAACATGAATTCCTTTAAAAAGTTAACAATCGCTATCACCATCCTAGCTTTAATCCCATATCAGTTGGGGCCGGCTCTCCGTATTAGTTAATTTTGCATTAAAAAGGGTACATTTCATGATTTCACACTTGTTTCACATAATATTACACACACATAGAATACATGTCCATAGCCTATTAAATAATTTCAAGATACCATGCAAATTTTACTAAAAGTATTATGTAAAATTCAAAAATTTTTGCCTTCTGTGTTCACTTTTATTTCATAGTTGGGAAAGAAATAATGATTTCACGTTGACAATTTCTTTATCTATAAGGGGAAAGCTGAAAATAGGAAAAGTTAGACAATAAGGAAAATGGGTTTCAAAGAAAAATAAGCTATGTAAGACTCAATAACAAATTCATATTTGAGTTTAAATCTAAAGAAAATATTACTAGAAATAATTCCACGCGGACCAGGCAGCAGACGGGATTCGAAGTCGCACCCGGGCGAATGCATTGACTATTATGCTACCGCGGTGTTAATAACTATAATTGCTATTTCTTATTTTGAATTTTTAATACTTGTAAAGGTATGCATTTGACATTTTGGGTTGCCTACAATGCGAAGAGATGGCGCTGCCATGCAGCTTAAGAAAGGCTAGAAAGAATTCGACACGATCATCAGAGCCGCGGTAGCATAATGCATTCGCCCGGACAGCAAAGGGTGCGGGTTTGAGTCCCGTCTGCTGCCTGGCCCGCGTGGATTTTTTTCTAGTAATATTTTGTTTAGATTTAAACATCGAGCAGTTATATGCTTAAAAAATAAAAATTATATTTGTAAAAATAAATATTTGTGTCTCTTAAGAATAGAACCTTTGTAGTTGAAAGCGGGACCGCCGCCTTTGTATCAGCTAGTTATTTGCTTATAATTTTTCGAATAAAATTTATAAAAACGTTATGTTTAGTTATTAATATATTTTTAGATCTAACGACGTTAGTAAGATGATTGAAGTATCGAATCGGAGAAGAGTAGGTACTTTTATACAAAATACTGATGTTAGCTTTGTACAGTATCGATATCTTAGCTCCGTAATGTCCCCACCCTAGGGATAATGTGTGTACCTTAATGTCAGCAATATCGAAAAATGTGTTGAAAAGAAGCACTCATATGAGGAGTATAACGTTAGTTCTTATTCGTCAGTTATAACATCACATATTCATTAAACACATTAATATGTTTTGGGTGAGTATTGTCTCCAGTCAAGTGTCTCTATAGCCGCTTTAGTGCTTACGGGTTGACATTCACATAGAGTTAAGTAGTATTATTTACGCCCCAATTTTCCTTGGGTGGCGAAAAAGCAGTCTTTTTTTATTAATATTATTTATTCGACAATGCGACATTTGAAGGTCTTCTCGCGCCGAATTTAGTACGTAGGCAACTATCCGCTAAATCCCTAATTAGCTGACGTCCCCACTCACGTCTCACTAAGCCCACTTAGTCCAAGGACCTGGTCGAAACTTTATCCGAGATTTGCGAGTGATCAGGAGCTCGCGGGCGCGGCAGTCTGCGAGCCGCTCTCGGCCGACCACCATGCCGCCCGCGCCGGGGCCAGGCGACCCCCCCCTGCCGCCGCCGTCCCCCGCCCCCGCGCCCGCCCCCTCTCGGCTACGACGCACGTTAAACTCGCTCCGCTCGCCGTTCCGCTCCGGGTCGCCCTTCCACATCGGCTCGATCAAGCGCTCCGTGTCTACGAAATCCTGTAGCTCAGACGGTGAGATCGTGCGCGACGCACGCATGATGCGTAAACGCAATAAGAAACAACGCGACGTGGCCAGCGATGCCTCCCGCAGCACCGACAGCTCGCCGAGCGTCGACAAGAAGAAAAAGGAGGGCGGCGGCAGCTTTATTCGCCGAATGGGTAGTATCGGAAAGCGCCGCGTGCAGCCCATGGAAAGGCGCGAAAGCGGCTCCACTTCATCGCCGACTCCACCCCCGCAAACTGACACAGTGGAGTCGACAATCGAGTCTCCGCCGACCCCACCTCCCGAATCAGCGGAGTCTGAACCGGGACCCGAACCGCAATCGACTCAACTTCAATTATTCGAACCGCAATCGCCCCAACCGCAATCACCCGAACCGGAAAGTATCACGCCAGTTCCGGTGAGCCCGATCGCCGTCGAGCATCCCGTAGCCACGCGGCCTTTCACAAAAGCCGCGTGGAAAAAGCACAGCGAGCCCGAAATGGAGAGGCCCGTCGAGGAGCCGAGCCCCGGCAACGCTCTGAAGCGTCGGATAGCTTTCGTCGCGCAAGCTTCCGCGTGCCTGTCGGAGGATCATGACGACGACGGGTCGGAGCGGGGCTCGAGCGAGGTGGGGTCGCTGGAGGAGGCGGTGGCTCTGGCGCGCGTGCGGCTCGCAGTTCCCGCGCCGACTTCGGACACGCACTCGCGCGACACCGACACCGAAGAGGAGGGGTACGCTGACGCGATGCCGGCATACGGAGACCTCATCGAGCCGGGCCCCGCCGCCGCCGACGATGGACCGGTGAGTGCGCAGTGAGAGGAGCGATGCGCGCGCGCCATGACCTTCGAGGAGAGCGCGGCCGCCGACGAGTGCTACCTGACCGTGTGCGAGTGCTGCGGCTTCAGCGCGGAGACCGCCGTGTTGGTCCCAGTACGTTTCATTTCACGATAGTTTTCAGCGGACGTCGAACGGCGCGCGATGTCCTTCGTGAGTACGATACCGAGTTTACTCGAGTGTGTGCTGTCTTTTGAAAGGAAACCCAGCATGGTATTTTGTTTGTTCAAGTGCATGTGTACTGGTTGATCTGTTGTTTGATAGGCGCGGATCGTTCGTAGTAGTTTCGAGGTCTTGTCTCGTTTTCATACGTATATCCATTACATACGACGAAGCCAATGCTGGAATGAAACGCCTCATTGGATTTAACGGTTCTTGAGTTACATGTACCAGATTTGTAATGGTTTTTCAAGTTTGTTCATATTTATCTTAGAGGTTTTTAGAAAACAAAGTGATAATGAGACATCAATTTCGATTTACCAATTAGATCATTGTGCGATATTGATTCGAAACGTCTTGTTATTGCTAGATATCTAGGTATTCCAAGACATTATCAAGGTCAACTAGTAAACTTGATAAATAAGTAGTGACAAAAAACTAGTATTCCTAAAATAATTTCTCATTCGTAATCATTCTGCGAAAAGTACGCTCTTATGATGGTTGGTTATTTAGTTCAAGTACTCTATATTTGCATGTTTTTGCATGAGAAAAATACGTGTGTTATTTGTGTACATTTTGCGGCTTGTTTTTGGGAATGTTTCTGTTGCAAGCAGGTAATGTAAGTTTTTCTTTTCATTCGTTTTGTAGCTGAATATGAAATACAACTTGGTTAAAACTATGAACTTTTCTTATCACATATGAATACTTAGTAAATACGTAATAAATATATTCTTATGTTAAGTTTTTTCTGAAATTTTATTAGAAAAATAGTGATTTTAGAATGCAGAACACCCGAGTGATCGGTTTTTTTGTTATAATCGTGAAGTAGATAGAGTTGCTCGGTTTGTACATACTATTTTTTTAACTTTAATAGAATAAGTACTTTTTACGGTACTTAGGTGTTGCGTAAACGGATCTATATTGTTTTTATTATTATTTTATTTCCAATCAAACTTATTTAGTACCTATAGGATCATAAAAAAAAGTCTATGATAACTAAACAATGGCGTGTCTTTAGAAATATCTTCTCACATACAAAACCTATTTTTTTGACACTATAAAGTAACAAGACTGTGATAAAAAAAATTAATTTAAATACTTTTATTAATATAATATATAAATTAAACAGGCCTTTTTAATAAGTCCATGGAATTTTTGATAACCTCTTAATTATTATTAACCATATTATGTTAACTTTTTTACAAAAACAACTTCATATTACTTGTCTTATCAATCGCTTTGAAATTCATATGTACTTTATATGAATTTCAAAGCCTATTTAATATTTTGCAACAATGGCTTATGAAAGCAGAAGGAGTTTAACAACTAATATAAGAGTAGATTTTAGTTCAAGGTACGTCACGGCTATTAGTCATAAGGTACATTCCGATAAATCCTAGTTCAATCAATTTCGCATCAAAATTAGTTTACAGATAACATTAAACGTTAATTGGCGCATTTTTTAATGAGCAAAGTACTTAAGTAATAAGTTGCATCATATGAAGTTTTTTTTAACAATTTTGTAACATTGGCTTATGAAAGCAGAAGGAGTTTAACAACTAATAAAAGAGTAGCCTTTAGTTCAATAAGGTACATTCCAATAAATCCTAGTTCAATCAGTTTCGCATCAAAATTAGTTTACAGATAACATTAAGCGTTAATTGGCGCATTTTTAATGAGCAAAGTACTTAATCAGTTGCATCGTATTATGAAGTTTTTTTTAACAATTTTGAAGCAATGGCTTATGGAAGCAGAAGGAGTTTAACAACTAATGAACTAGTAGCTTTTAGTTCAATTAGGTACATTCCAATAAAGCTTAGTTCAATCAATTTCGCATCAAAATTAGTTTATAGCTATCATTAAGCGTTTTTAATAGGCGCATTTTTTAATGGGCAAAGTACTTAATCAGTTGTATCATATAAAATGTTTTTTTTAATTTCATAACATTTTCTCATATTATGCATTATTGTGTATCTCTTTGAAAGATTTAAATACCAACTTCATTAGGTAAAAGTCGAATGGAATTGTGACTGAATTTAAAGATGGACAGGGCTGATATTTAGAAATAACAAGATTTTTTGCGTATAAAACATGCGTATAAACATATATGTATATTAGGTAACACTTTTCATTTTGTCAATTTCAGGTTAAAATTACGAACAATTATATGTCATATTCAACTTTTCGTTTGAAAGTTTTGTGAATTAGAGTAGGCTTGGAGAATTTAATTGTCAAACTATTTCGGACGAACGAATTTTCGAAATAAAAAGGAAATAGAGTAGAAAACGTACGAAATTTCGCTCGAAATTTAGTTTTTCGTTGAAATAGAGTAGGCCTCCAGGCCTCGTTTATGGGAATTTATTTCCCGGTTTGTGATTAATCGTTATTGCAGTAACCATTATTTCTCATATCATTTATTATGTTCCGATATATATAATTAATTTATGTCGACTTAAAATTTAAATGTATCCTAAAATGTTCGTTACCTGTGTGTGAAGTGGAAAATTTTTAGTAGACAACATCATGTCAATTTTTTTACGTAAACATAAATTCAAGTAACTTTAAATTCTGTAACAACCGGTCTATAAAGTGACTTTTCGATGGCAAATCTGATCTTTATCTGTAAATAAGAGAGTATAATATCATATAAACCACTTTAAAATGTAAATAATTTCAAACTTTTACGAATATTAAATCAGTATCTAATAGCTTGAGGCCTACAAATTAACTACAAAAATAAATTTACCCTAAATAGTATTAGTTTATGTTATAAATTTACACGGTGGACTAAGTGGGTAACCTATAATGCGAAGATATGGCGCTGCCTTGCAGCTTAAGAAAGGCTAGAGAAAATTCGACACGGCCATCAAGGCTGCGGTAGCATAATGGTCATTGCATTCGCCCGGATAGCGAAGGGTGCGCGTTCGAATCCCGTCTGCTGCCTGGTCCGCGCGGAATTTTTTCTAGTAAATTTTTCATAAGATAAAACAAATAGCAGTTAAATGCTTACAAAAATATGTAAGTTTATTATTATGTTAGTATAATGTTAAGTTTATTTAGAAATCAACACTAACATTATTAACAGTAAAACAGTCTCGTGTGTAGACCGGTTGGACCACAAGATGCTTCGTCGCAATTAATGTTTACGAAAACTAGGTTGACGTCTACACATTTATAGTAATCACTTCATCAATAGAGTATAATATAATTTATATTTTAAATAAATTACTATTTGGTAAGCCAATTAAATAAGGATAAGTCATTTTATTGGAATAATATTAAAATAAAGGTTGACGCTAACGCCGCGCCATGACTACATATCATAATCAGGATTAATTATTGTGTAGTAACCTAATAAATCGGAAATACATATAAATAAAATTTTGTTGTAGGTATAACTTTTTACTATCTATTTTAGTTAAAATAAAACTATTTTTAACTGGTTAATGCACGAACTTTACACGAACCCGCTAAAAACTAGTTTTATTTTAATAAGTGATGTGCGTGAAAACCTAAGAAACAAATATCTATTTTAGTTATCTAAATACATATTTGCAGTCTTTCTGTTGGCTTTCAACTTTCTCATTATTGGCTGAAATTCGATTTCTTTTGTTTTAACAATCTTTAGATTGCCTCCTTCTTCTTTTTTTAATATACTAGCTGACCCAGCGAACTTCATACAGCCCTTAAAATAGGGGCTGGTGGTAGAAGGGTGAAAATTTAGGGTTGAATGTATTATAAAAAATAATGTCCGTAGAGTAAAAAAATAAAAGTTAGGTTAGGTTAGGGGTATGAAAGATCGATAGTAGCCGATTCACAGACCTACTGAATATGCATATAAAATTCCATAAAAATCGGTCAAGCCGTTTCGGAGGAGTATGGTAACTAACATTGTTTTTTTTTTATTTAAAGAGGTAGGCAAATGACTCTACCCCACCTAATGTTAAGTGGTAATAAAGTCCAAACGCGAAAATAGCTGGTACAGCAGTTATAAACTGCCACACCAATCATCCTCACCTTGCCGGGCTGCAAAAATGCTTCTTCACGCCTCTCTTAAAGGACCCCAGATTGTAGGAAGGAGGGAACACGTGCGCGGGCAAAGCATTCCACTTACGAATAGTACGACAAAGAAAGGATAAATGATATGAGAATTTTATATATAAGATTATGCTTAGGTAGTCTGCTTTCTGCGGCTTTGTGAATTACGCAGATTCATTTGTCAAAGAGTCTGTATAATGCGATTCAACTAAGAATAGGACCGACGGGGCGCCATATTTTGACGCATAGCTGTCAATTCAAACCAAATAGGAAGACTGAGCAAAAAAATGTTGCTATTTAATGAAACTTATTTACTAATATTATGTGAGACAAACATCAGATTTTTTAATAAAATTAATTTACTAAGGTTGAGAAAGAACACAACCGATTTTTAATAGTATTTCTTTATTAAGACTGTGTAAAAAAAACTTTAATCAGAATCTAGCTCTTCAATTTCGCTCAACTCTGCATTACAGCCGGAGAAGTTATGAATAATCATGCAGGTCACATACGAACATGCATCCTATATGTAAACGAAAGTTTTAAATCGAGTTTTAGAACGCAACATAAAGTGACATTTGGTTGACGATTTAGGTTATCAACCATTCATAGTCAAAGCTAAATAAATGAAAAAAAAACAACTGATATTAATTATCAGCATTTGTAATTGTTTGTTAAAAATGTTTGGTTTTTATTCTAGAATCAGCGAAGTGCTAAAAAAGTGTTCCGAGATTTTTTTGCAAACCGTACTTTTCAAGCGACATTTGACCTCCATCTGTCATTGGCTTTCCTATCGAATCGCATTATAGGTATGTGTTTAAACATCGTATGTATCTTTATCCTGTTGATTCTCCATATAAACTTTAATTATGCGAAATTTTAAACTTCTCCAAGATTGTAAATGTAAATTACCAACATTTGGATTACTACACACCACCTATCTAATATTGCTTAAAACTCGCACGTCAGTAATGACATCTCGCATTGTAACAGACAATCTTTAACGTATGGTGAATATCGAATATCGTGTGACCTTACCTATTATAGGTATCCGTTACCGTGATCTATAGAAAGTCACAGTTGGTATATCAAGTTACATTCACGCCAGTAAACATTCGTGGTCTTGTCACTCCGACACAATAGTGACAAGCCAGGGGCGTACGCCACAGAGATGATATCTGCGACTAAAATAACTTACAGCGACAATAAAGAGGTTAATTGTTCATTTAGAATAAAACAAAAGGGGAAGATACGGTACGCTCATACTAGCATCAAATAAAATATGCACCGACTCAACTACATTTAATTTTTTTATTTAAATTTTATTTGGGAAATTTACAGGCAAATAACAAAGTATATTAAAACTATGATCAGTCACATGCCAATAATGAATTTCCAGATATAACACTTACATCAATTTCTTAACTCACATACAAACAACATATAAAAAATGTCTAACCAATTTAGAGGTAAATGATATTTTAACCATTATTAGAGCATTAGCATTACTGACAAACTACATTTCAAAATATTTTCCTGTCAAAATTCGCTTCATCTTTGAACAGCTAGTATAAAA